ATATATATATATATATATATATATATAATTGTTGGCAAGTTTCAATAAATTTTATTCAACAAGGAATTAATAATAATAGTAGTTCATTTAATAAAAATAGGTGTTCATTTAATAAAAATATGGTCACCATTTAATAAAAATATGTAACTTTCAGTTACACGATTTATTTTGACATGTCCCATTTTGGATGTGTGTCCATTTTTGTAACGCTTTTTTTTGTGCTAAAATAAAAAATATTTTTGTTTTTCTTTGATACTATATATATTTTGGTATTATATAAATACATATATCACAACTAATTAAGAATGACTGCAAATATCTCTATTTTCTATTGCAGTCATACAATAACAAAAAAAATATTTTTTCTGATATTACATTGATACATTAAATATTTTGAAAATCAAATCCCATGAAATAAAACTATTTATTGCTCCTGCAAAATAGTCCTGCAATATATTTAAAATTTTATATGCATAAAAATAACTTATAATACTCTATGTTTAAAATTTAATACTATTATCTAACTTATAATTTAAATATTATATATATATAAATAACTTATAATATTTTATTTATATATGTGCAAATACACATGGTCGAATACTAGTATATATATAATTGCTAACAAGCTTCAATAAATTTTATTCAGCCAACAATTAATAAAAATAGGACTTCATTTAATAAAAATCTTTATGACCAACATTCAAATGACAGTTACACAAGTAAAATATTTTATTATTAATTTTTTATTTTGTAACAGCTTTATAAGATTTTAAATTTTCTGAATATTCAATATTAAACTATTTGACAACTAATATTCCTATTTTATATTATAGTTGTATAATAACAAAAAAAAATTAAAAAAATATTTATATGAAAGTTAAATAATTTATATTTATATTATACAATTACATATAGTCCAAATTTTAAAATGTAATACATACTTTATCTAATTTAAGTTTTTAAATATCATATATGCACATATAATATATAAATTTTTGTTTTCCTCTGTGTATATGCTACAGTAACATTAATCACGACCAGTAGTTTTCTTTATGTACTAGAATTTGATATCCATCTTTTTAAAACATTAACTAACCCTCTTTATTATATATAGAGAAATGTTATGGAGCCAATGATTGACTCCTTTATGGAGCCAACCATTGGCTCCACAATATTTCTCAATATATATTTGACATTTTATCATTATTTAATTACATTAATCAAGACTAGTTAAGAGTTTTCTTTATGTACAAAATTTGATACGGTGTGTATGGCGTTTTCACTTAAATTAGTATTTGATTATGTGCATATGAATAAATATAAATAAATAAGTTATATGTACGCATATAATATTATAATTATAAGTTACATAATGGTATTACGTTTAAAACATTTCATCATTTGTAAAATAAACAGTACAAAATATTTAGTTACTTATGAATAACTATATTGATTGCATAAAATGCAATGAGTAATAATAAATTTTGTAATTTTGAGGGGCCATAACCAACTAATTAGTAGAAAAACTATTAAATTCACTATTATAACGATTGCTTAAGCAACTTTAAGGAATTTGACTGTGTCATTAAACTAATTTTTTTATTTAAAAATTGCTTAAATGAGATTAAAAAAATAATATTAATTTTAGAATAAATAGCTTGATGAAAATGTTTTACAATATATTTTTATTACGTTGATGTAATTTTAATATACCATTTAGTGTAAAATATAATTAGCTAGTTTTA